GTCTCTATAAATGGCCACATCTGGTGACGCTAAACCTGCCTCAAACACCGCAGACACGACACAGTAGAGGTGACATTATAACAACATTCCTACACCAGACCACTGTATAATGACACCCACTCTGGCTAAACATAGAAGTGTTTACTGCATCACTTGGTAAGTCTGTATATTTGGTATCATTTATGAGGGGTCGCTGCATATTCAACTCGCGTTCATAGAGGTATAATTGTACATATTTTTGCTATTAACATTGTTGGAAACTTGCATTGTCAACTGGGTAGCTTCAACTAATCTCACAAGCCTCAAGAAGGTCAAAAAGTATGGTTTAATTGTTTCTATAACTGTATGTTCATGTGATATTTTGACTTAATTGTTTGGCTTTTGATTTTGTATAAATATTAGTTGAGTATTAAGGAACTAAAGACACAGCTCTTGAAGAAGGGGCTTATCATTAATCTATTTTCACTTTTTTCTGATTATTTACTGTATATACATACATAGTTCGTTAGTGAATCTACCATATAGGGAAGACACTTTTGCCGACCCGATACGGATTTAATTTTTCGCTAAAATGTCTTCAGACGCCAAAAACTCCATTCCTTAAATTGTTTATGTCATGTAAAAAGTCATTTTTTTAGTTGTAAAGGCCAGACACACGCTGACAGCTTGGCCTAGAACTAGAAATCGTCATTTCTCAGCTATTTATTGCTCGATCATTTTTGACTTTTTCGTTTGATAGGACATTTTAATTGCTAAATAAAAGAGTTGTTCACGTTCATTTATTAAATGAGCAATTGTTTAGTAATTTGAGTTAAAAAAAACTAAAATGGCAGCCATTAGGAAACAGAAAACATTTGTAATAGTAGTTTACGCAACGATTGCGTAAAGATTGTGTTAACGACACGAGTAGAAAATTAAAGGTACGAGCCTTGGCGAGTGCCTTAAAAACTTCTACGAGTGTCGTTAACACTATTTACGCGAGTTGCGTACACTACTTTACCTATGACAGTGTTTAATTACTAAAAATCACTACTTATAACTTCTATGAGAGGTTATGTTTTCGTTTATAACCTCCCATTGCCACTGACAGTGATGCAACGAATTATTGAACCAAACACTAATTTCACCAATCGTTAACAATTAAATTGGTAAACAGCTGATTAGTTGAAGTTCGAATCATTACAATTTTAATTCTTCTCTCTCAATCCTTGAACCTCATTGGTACGTTACCCGTGTTGTTATGAGTAAAACTATGCTGATATGAAGTAAACAATGCTGTTATGAGATACTTTTCAATACTAAGAACTGTACTGAAACGGCAACTTAAAAAAACGGTCGTAGGTAAATGATTTTTTAGCCAAAACGTAATTGATATTTAACATTATATACAAAAACTTGTTAAAATACCTTTAGTTTTAATTATGTAAATTGTAAATCACAAAAACAAGTTTTTGGATATCTTGGAACAAGGTGTTTTAGAATATATTTATATTCGATTCCCGTTTTATTTTGACCCATAAAACATATTGATATACTTTTTGCACTTACTTATACTTACTTATTTATCCTTATATATAGCTATTCCATTAAATCTTTAACTAATTTAACGTTTATCAACAAAATGTGTATTGTTCCAAATCAAACCACGAATAAATCTATCCCTTGCCCTATTCATAATAATTCTGACTCACTTCACCACTCCAACTAAAAGCTTGGAGTAAAATTAAACCAGGAGCATTATCGTAAACCAAAGACCGGAGTTTTGGAATGGGATACAGACCAGCTTCGCTTGGATGTAGCGAGAATAGTTTGTAGAAGAAATGAGTAATTCAATAGATCAGAATGCTTTTAGACTCAGACCACCATGTGTACGCGACCTGAAGTGATGCATTACATGTCACATACAGACAAACAGACGAAGGAAGAGTTCATGTGATCTATGTGGCATAGGTCACCGCGGTCCTTTTTAAACGTCTTTGATTAAGGGTTTGCAACTACAGGTTTACCAGCGAGCGGCGCGGTATTAGCAGAATTTTGTAATCAAGGTACCACAGGCTTAGTTTAAAACTTTGTTGTGATGTAATTATATAATTAAACCCTGTTATATGTTTTTTTTTTCATTTTTCATTTTATTGCTGTTAAAACTTAGTTACAAGACCCTATTTAGATCTGCAGATATGATTAGATGGTTGGACTCGGTTCAAACAATGAAAAACCAAAAATTAATGATGTCATATGCTGTATACTGCACACTGCATCCGGATTATTGCTATGGCAGCCTTTTGCATTAAACAAACCACAAGTAATATATGTTTATGATTCTTGTACATCATGACAGGTAAGCTAAAAAGTGTAAAGATAGTTTTATAAATACTTAAAAACACTTTTTATTAATAATTGGGCTAAATACATAGTTTACAATTAAAAAGTTAAAAATAAATTACGTAAAAATCTTACCAACCGTTAAAGTACATTATCTACGAAACTCGAAAGTTGTAGTTTTCCATGTAAGAACATAAGTACGTAATTGGATTCGTATATAATTTTTACAGCTAACAATTTCACATAACAACTCTTGATATTTAGATTGTGAGCATCATATTCATTCTTGAAACCCTCTTGACCCTATTGAGTTGATAAACCCTCTTGAAATAGGGAAGAGATATTGTTTATAGCAATAAAGAAAGTCGAACCTTTGATTTTAATCTTACATTCAAGACGCGCCGCCGCGATCAAATTTCGATTCGGATTCCAGTTGGCCAAAGTCGACACAAATCCTATAAACATTTAGCAGCTGCTCAGCAGATTTGGCTTGACATCCAATAAACCACGATATTTGTGGCCATCTATTCAGGAATGCGGATTGTATCTTCTACAGATGAATTCTCACTTCTTGTGGCATCAATAGAGGTGGGAGCGATCTGTGGTGGACTAAAAGTAACAATAACACAGATGTATAGGTCAAGTTGCGCTTCGAATAATATCTTCATATGAATCGTACATCACTATTTGTATAAGATTAAATTTGAAATAATTATATGAAATAATTACGCTCAGCCACACAGGTCGATTTCCAAAGGGCTACACCTGACATGCTTGCAAAGTTTAAATTATTTAATTTATTTAATGAAACAGCTGGTCAATGCAATAACTGGCGTTTTTTTATTTACTCGAAAAATATGTTGTTATGCTTTATGTATATTTAGGTGCATTATTTAGTAAGAGGGTTACGTTTGGTTTTAGAGAAAGGTTGTATAAGTTTTGTAGAGTATTGCTAAAAGTTTCATTTTTACCATACATACCATACATGTAAAAAGGCTTGACTAAAATTGAAGAACTAAGGTAAACATGTCATTAATGAAGCATCAATATATAACAATTGATACTATTGCTACACTAAGGTATGTTGTTGCCATACTCCTTTGGATCTATTAGCATCATAAGTAGGGATTAAAAGTAACTACGTTTACCCTTTTAAATCATTTTATCTTTTCAAATGAAATCATAGACTTCCTGTATTTGTAAAATACACATCAGCACCACTTATAAGTGTATACACTTTAATGGCTGTCTAGGTCACAATTTCTTCCCGTTGAACGGGGTTTTTCACGGGTATAGCAGCTCGTTTTACAGCACAAGAATATAAGAATATACATAAGAACATAAAAGAATATACCAACCTTCGTATGGTCACCATTTCAATTAAAAGTAATACAGTAGTATAATAGTACAGTATTACAATATCAATACGGTAATTTAAGTTGATTATTGATTATTGATTGATTATTATTGATTATTATTTTTAGCTATACCATTTCTTGTATTATAATTCCAACTGGTTAAAAGAAAGGAAATTGCAATTTAGTATTCTAGTTGGATTCTATGGTATCTTGAGTGCGAACCAAGTTTGCCATTCACTGAATAGTTTCAGTTTGGGCGACAATTAACGAAACTTGGTAGCGGTCTATGTAGTTAAACTTGCTACTATTGTGGCAGAAACATTCTTCAGAATGGTGTAATGGTATGAATAATCTATTAAGAGATTCGATCTTTTTTCTATTGACCAGGAGTTTTGTCAGATAAACCTATATTTGTAAAACAATTGTGAACTACCTAACAACAAAAGTAATATCCCTTGATACTGTGGTTTTGTAAATGGGAAACAGACAGATAGATAGGTTACAACTGCTAAAGATTTTCCAGTTTATCACATTTAATATTTAAAATTACTAATTTTAACTTTGAAAAGCCGATTCAACATAAATTTTAAAATTGTTAGGGTCTAGTTTACTCTCGCAATAAACTTAAAAATCTCCATGTTAATATATTATTATTCATAACAAGTGTAGAAAGTGAGATGGTTGAGAATATGTATAGACCCATTTTCACATGTGTTTTGAACGTTACTTTTCGCTACCCCACTAAGACTAATTAGTTTTTATATAGTATAAAAACAGACATTGCAATATTTCTTTATTACAGTTTGGTACATTTCAAAAGTAGGCTAATAGCCTTTTTTGTTAGGTTCTCAATTTAAAGTTTAAATTTACATTGGTTGTACGGTTTTGGTTGTTGCAAATTGAAACAGTTGATGAAACAAACCCAATCGTATATAATGGTTTATGTCGGTAAAATATAAAAAAGAAAGTATAAACATTTCTACGTTTGCATAGCAAACACTCTTTTCGCGTAGTTGACAATGTAATGATGAATTTACACAGGTACATACATAAAACAGGTGATTTCATAGAAATATGGCTAAAAGTAAATTTAAAATCAAAACCTTAGTTTTATTATATTGTGGTATATCATATGTTTTATTTGTTATCTTTAACGAGTGATATTTGGATATTTACTCTGATCTCAATTTACAGTAGCATTTTAGTGTACAACAATTATTGTCAACTCTATCTCTGCGCACCCAGTGGCGGAATACTCAACTAAACTATTTTCAACAATGTTCGCAGCCACGGAGCGTTTGGACGACGACGACAGTGTTCTTCGTTGTTTCGGTGCGGAAGGTTGGTATCTTGGAGTTGTGTTGTTGAGTCGTGCGATCTTGGAACTTCGATTCACACAGGAGGAAAATAACAAGGTTAGTGCTATTTATTTATTTTGTAAGCTAATTAACAACTTTTACAGGAAAACTAAATTATTTCTGTATGACAAGTAACTAGTTGAGTACCGGTAGATTGGCAGTGAAAAACTATATAATGCAAAAAGAGTAACAACACAATAAGATAACCTAAAAATAATAAAGTTATACAAATTTCTTATAGAATAATAACAATATTCTAGTCTCTATAAAACAAGAACAAAATAACAACATCGAGTAAACTCTAGTACCCTAACAAGAATAATAATAGGATTTCATTAAAAGCTATGATACATAAACAATTTAAACATGTCTACTAGGTATATTGGAAGAAGTTCATAATATGCACATAAAATGTACATTTGTTATATTTTTATTTTTATCTTTTAATCTTTTAATCTCACAAACAACGTTTTGTTTAAATAATGTTTTCATTAAGGAAATTTCTGATGAACACAAATTGTTCAATCATAAAAAACCTATTATAACGGTAAACGCTAATTGGTAATTAAATCACTTAACTCAAAAAAGATAAAAATTTTATTCAGTTTTAGTAAAATACGTTACACTCATATTTACCTATCTAAACACTCATTTTACGTGTAGATTTGTCTAAACTTCTACTGTAATAGAGTAATAGATAATTTATAAGACAGTATTTAGAACTACGAGTCAGTGAAATAAAATAATGTACTTCAGTTAGTTGCTCCTAAAAGTTTAATATATGTTTGATTAATCTGATCTAGATGTGTAATGTCTTGATTTTCGACATTTTCACCTAATAAATTTATACGAGTAATGTCCAGTGGTCGAAACTCGACCCAAAATATTTAATGTATAGACTTCTTTATTTTCATTCCACACTTTGAATAGAACATGTGATTGGAGTTTCCTTCATTTGTTTTGATTTTCTGTTTATATTTCGTTGTTATTTCGTCACCAGCATGGCAACTCATAATATCCATGTTAAATTTGTCTAAATTTTAAATTCATTTTTTGTGCTTATTTTTGAGCCTATTTTAATTTATAAAGGGATTCTGCACACCTACAGGAAAATAGCTTTCTAACAGTATGCGTACATTTTCCCTACGATGCACACGAGCTGAGAAAAAAGGTTTTAAAGAAACATGCTTGCCTATTAATATATAGAGAGATATCATCTGTACAGAAATATATAATAGGAATGTCCATTTAGCATAAACACAATAAAATACTTGTAAACTAAAAGAAGTATTGAAATCGTATCACAAGTCGTGCACAAAAGCTGCCAAAGTTTCGATATGGAATATTACTTAGGCAAGATTTTTCACGGGCTTTGGTTTGGTCTCGGGTTTCTCATATTAAATATTCAATCTCTGCCATGAAGCTGTTAAGTACTTCCCTCGTACTTTAGAAACTTAGCAGGTATCCAAATTGTGTGTATCAATATTAGTTTAGTTGATTTTAGTTTTTACTTATTTTAATTTATAATGAACCACGCAAATAGTACGGTATGTGAACCTCTTTTACTTTGAGGTTGATACATAGGTGCGTAGTTGATACATCTTTAAGGAACATCTCCTGGTACATATTTTAAGTAATGCATGAATAACTGATTAACATAAGTAAAATACGATTTTGTAACAGTAATGCAATCCACATCATTAAAATATGTACGAAGACTATTTAAATGCTTAGTTAATAAAATAACATTTTCTTGCCTCACCCAACATTACGATTGGGGCATATATTATAACTGTATATATATATAACTGTGCATATATGTATAACGTAACTGTTGGGGCATACCCAACGCAACTATATGATTTAAAAACAATGGTAAATTGCTTAAAGGAAGGGGGGGGGATATATTGTATTTCATATGAGTTCCTCAGTTCATGTTGGAATCATTTATCTTTTTTTAGGCTTCTGGAGTTCTTAGTGTTATTCTAGTTTTGTTTCGTGATTGTGAGTTTCGAAATTTCGTTTCCTTATTTCCCAGTTGAACTAATGTTACTTAGTGTGTTGTAGGGATCGTATAACCTATGAACCATACACCACCATACTTACACTCACTTCACACGAAATAATAAAGGGAACTAGAAGTAGTAATACAGATCCTTATACAAACAGATCCTTATGGCGTTTGAAACTTAAATTTTATAGAGTAGCGAAGCCATTGTGTACCAAATTAGTAAGATTAGTTAATAATTTAGTGTTGATTAACCTGCACTAGTGAGTACTACGACTATCCGCAGTACTATCCTGATAATTAGACCAATTCGTAAATTACAAGGCAAAAGCTGGTTCGGATTCCACTATAAACTGTAGGTCCCTTAGTTACTATTAGCTGTATGGGCTATTAATTAACAGCTGTGTCTAAGGAACATGTCGGCCTTAGTCAGTAACAAGACTACAAGATCATGTCACTCATCTCCATTCTGGTTGAAATACCTACCTTCGTATGGTCGCCATTTCAAAGTGAAAGTATAAAAATATTATAATATCAATACGGTAAACTAAGTTGACTTTAGCCCAGCAAAATCATACGAGTATTTAAAATAGTGGTGTAACACATTGTTGTGTCAATATCAGCTGCAGCGCAGACTATTGCAGTTTATCATCTATCGGCGAGATCACTACAATTGTTGCACTACAGCCACGGGTCATGGCAATGCATCCGCATCTAACTGCACTTCTAGGAACTGGTCGGAATCAGCTGTTAACATGTGCCTCAATAGTTGCGGCGCCTTTGGTGCTGTCAATTATCTGTTGGAGTCAAACAGAAATAAATCGTTCAACCGCAGCTACAAGTAAATATATGAACAGCTGTTTAAAGAATGAGTCTTTTTGCTTTATGTGAAGAAAGTTCCTTTTTCGTGAAAATAGTTGAGATAGAGTTTTGGTTGTAAGTGGAAGTATCCGTTTTGGTTGCCCCTGAAACCTAAGAAGTTGTTTTAAAATGACCTCTGTGTGTCTGTGTATAAAGTCACTACACGTGAGGTACAATTTTGATGCAATTTGTTTTGTGGGTACTAATGAACGGTATTTCCAGACTTTTTGAGTTTTTTATTTATTTTTTAATAGTTATTTCCCCATAAAATCCTATAAAATTACGAAAATACCAGAGTTTTACAATTATTCTTAACAATTATTATTCAAATTTAATATGTTATAGTTCTTTTTAGTGCCTCCTAAGACTGACATATTTATAAAATTACCGTAATTTGGAGTTAATTCATACATTTATTTAGTAGTATGTATTTTTATCCAATGTTTAAGGGCAAAAAATTTTGGATGTTTCGGGTTTGAGTTTTTCAACTTGAAACTTGTTGATCGAATCTTGAAATTGAAGCTTCCAATATGTTGTGATGGTTTTGAAATAGTGGGTTCGGCAACACATCTTTAGTGTACAGTAAAGGCTACCTTCTATGGTAAATTACATGTAATACGGTGTTTGCTTATAAGGTTAGACGAGAAAACATAACGAAACTCCAGGTCTAAGAACCTTCACCAGTCTCATTTTTCACAGAGTAACTCAATCCCATCCAATCTGTACAGCTGTAAAGTTAATTTAAAATCAGTTATACTTAACAGATGTCATCAATGGCACCATTACTGTGATCAAAACCAATTGTGGAACGTCGTTCAATGAAGGACAAACACTAGAAACAGTCTTGCATTACAGAACTTGACTTTGTTGCAAGTTGGTTGGGAAAGATTTTGCTAAATAAATAAGTGTTATTTTGGTAAATAAATCTTAAAGAGTGTATTTTGTGGAAAAATCAACTATTTTACATTAATTTAATAAAACCTACTAGCCTTTATTGTAGACTAAAGATGTGTTCTGCCAAACCCCAAATCTCAAGACCATCAACACTTTCGAAAAGTTTCGGTTTCGAGATTCGAAACTTCCAACATTTTCGCCCAAAACGTATTTGAACATAAATATTGAGCACCAAATGAAAGTTTGAATTAATCTCATATTCATGTAAACATGTCACTTGACAGGAGGCTCTAAATGAAATTTGTAATATTGTTGTAATTAATTGTAATTCAATAATTGATTATATTTTGAAAGTTTTTAATAGTGATTAACATCTATATTATGAAAAGAATTTGTTGGAATTTCGTGTGCAGCAAATAGATCCCTAAATATTTATTTTTATCACATATTGGGGATCAATTTAAAGCTCTTGACCTCTAGATGTGCCTTATTCGGGTTTGGACGATTTCCCTTGAAAGCCATTCGTCCTATAGGCTTTTAAAATTTCATAGTTTGTGCTGAATTCTGTTGTCGATCATCTGTATTTTTCCAGGATTTTTCATGTTTTTTATATGGTTTGGACTCAAAAATAATCAGTAAATTATAAGCTTCAATTTGAACTATTGATCGTTAAAATCAGTTAAGCTCAAGATACTGTATTACTCAATCAAAAATCATAAATTTTATTACTTCTCGGATATTATATTTATTTTAACACTGCGGAGCAGCATGGGTCCTCTAGTTTTGTTTACATCCATTCGAAAATGGGGTTATCTGTAGTTGGTGATATTTCAGTAAATTCAAGTAAAATATCGTAATGTTAGCTGTGTAAAATGTAAAGAAGAAAATGACTTAAGTTAGATTTTGTTTTTCGTAGTATGTTTAATTAGTATTTGATATTTTTCTAAAATGCCTCGAAGAGAATGCACGAAATGAGAATAATAGGGATATGATAAGACATAATCGTTTTCATCCTTATCAACCATATATTTAATATATCACAGATTTTAAAGGTTGCTAGTTTTTATCAATACACTTCAGTCTTATTTTCCTATATATCTTGTAAAAGATAATTCTACTTTACATTTCTATCCAACACTTGTAATGAACAAGTTTATAATCTGTTTTTGTACCAGTCTCCCTCCAAACGTTATAAAATACCTCGAACATCAACAACAACTTGCTTTTTCCTCACAATTGTTTCTCGAATTTGTTTGATCCAACCATCAAAACGTAACTTGTACGAAAAACATTA